AAAAAAAAAAAAAGAAGTAGAAATTCAATAAAAATAAAACATTTTATTAGAATTATGAAAGTGATTATATATTTATAAAGCAATATGTAATCATATTATGATGATGGTAATCTGGTAAGCAGGTAATGGTAACCAGGTAAGCAGAATACCTGATAGTATCAGGTAATCAGAATACCCTTCATTGACTAACAATTATTTTCCTTATAAGTTTCCTAGAAAAGAAAGTGCTAGACATGGAAGACAAACACATAGTTCAATTACGGTCAATGAAGGAAGAGAAAGATCAGCTTCAAGTATTGGTATCTAAGCAAAATTCCATCATTGATGAACTGAAAAAACAATTAGTGACTGCCACAGTAAATAATTCAGTTCTTCAAAAGCAGCAACATGATCTGATGGAGACAGTTCATAATTTATTGACTATGATATCAACAAATGGTAAGTAAAGTTTACGTATTATTTTTTCCTTTAGTTTTAATAGCCTTCTTGTTAGAAAAACTCTCAAATTCTGAAGAATTCTCATCTTTTAGAAAAGATAATACGTATTATATATTTCCTATGAAAATGTGGTATTTCAATATAGAATCAGTTAAGAAGAAGGAAAAGAAGGGGGAGGGTAAATAATATACTACACTAATTAATTATTATGAGGCAAAACACCACTACAAATATAATTTTCATTCATAGAAGTAAAGAGCCAACTTTGAGTTAGTTCAGCCATTTGCTAGATAGACAAGGCTAGGTAAGTTTCTGAATCATAGTGGAAAAATAGTTCTGGACCGGTAGGATTGCTGGGACTCTTAAATGAGGCAGTATTTTTAGTGAATGACATGAAACTATCTGTTGAATGATGCTAGTTCCACTCTCTTGTCAACTCCTTAAATATATTTTGCCTCGTTTAGTACTTCTTTTCAGTTTGTCTTAGATATTGGAGGGAAAAAAGGATGCATCTTTAATCATTAATTAGAAATGCAATATACTATCTTGGTGGCATTTTTAGGTGCTTTTTTCCCCCCTTACATTGAGTCTAGAATTTAGTATGATTTAGGTCATAATGTCTTTTTGGTGTATACTCCTAACACAAATGAACTTTGCACATGAATCATGTAGATGCATTCTTCATTTTCATAAGATGTCCTTGCATTTTCCTTGATTTTTTTCCCAAGTGGGGATGTGCCCTTTACCTGCCTGTCACTCCCATTCACACCAGTTACCTCGATTTTAATAGAAACATGTAAATAGTATAGGTATTTAAATAAGTAAACAAATAGAACAAGTAGTACATTTTTTTTTTCTTTTTAAAAAATTTTTGTGGGGCCGGCAGGTGGCATGGTGGTTAAGAACGCTGGACTTCCACATGGCCTACTGCAGTTCGAGTCCTGGACCTGGGAGCTTGATTTCTCACTTTTTCTCTCTTCTCTCGGGTCAAATTTAAATAAATAAATAAATAAAGTTAAATAAAATAATTCTTTTAAAAAGCAAAACAAAATTTTTGTTATAGGGCACTTGCAGTGAGAGAGAAAGAAAGAGAGAGGGAAAGTGAGAAAACACCCCCAGGAAGGATAGCCATTCCACAATCCCTTCTCCTCCATTCTCCCTTGGAATTTTGGGCATGCATACACATATGCCTGGCTTTTTCATGGCACCAGGTCCGGGACTCAAACTGCACAGTCAGCCATGTGGGGCTCAGCTGCCTTAATTTCCACACTGTCTACTGGCCCAAGCACAATCTTGACACTAACTGGCAGGCTGGTCACTGGGTTGCCAGTTTGCTGTATGTGCTTTCTCAGCAGAGTTTTATTCTCTTACAATTTAGAAAATTCATTCTTTTCCTACATGCATAGAAAAGAGGACGCCGATCATCTGACTCTCTAGTGGGACAAAGACAGAGTGGGGGTACCAGCTGTGATGAGCTAAAGCAGACAAAATTATTTAGCTCAGATTTTGGCAGAAAACAATGAGTACATAAAAAAGAGCAGCAGAGATGGTTTTCCTCTTTTCCGAGGGCCTTTAGCCAAGTGGGGATGTGCCCTTTACCCGCCTGTCGCTCCCATTCACACCATTTCAGGGAGGACTGTGCTTTGTATGGTCTCTAGAGTAAAATATAAGTAGCTGCAAGAATACCAATGCACACACATGCAAGCATTCTCTCTCTCTCTCTCTCTCTCTGCCTGTCACTCCCATTCACACCAGTTACCTCGATTTTAATAGAAACATGTAAATAGTATAGGTATTTAAATAAGTAAACAAATAGAACAAGTAGTACATTTTTTTTTTCTTTTTAAAAAATTTTTGTGGGGCCGGCAGGTGGCATGGTGGTTAAGAACGCTGGACTTCCACATGGCCTACTGCAGTTCGAGTCCTGGACCTGGGAGCTTGATTTCTCACTTTTTCTCTCTTCTCTCGGGTCAAATTTAAATAAATAAATAAATAAAGTTAAATAAAATAATTCTTTTAAAAAGCAAAACAAAATTTTTGTTATAGGGCACTTGCAGTGAGAGAGAAAGAAAGAGAGAGGGAAAGTGAGAAAACACCCCCAGGAAGGATAGCCATTCCACAATCCCTTCTCCTCCATTCTCCCTTGGAATTTTGGGCATGCATACACATATGCCTGGCTTTTTCATGGCACCAGGTCCGGGACTCAAACTGCACAGTCAGCCATGTGGGGCTCAGCTGCCTTAATTTCCACACTGTCTACTGGCCCAAGCACAATCTTGACACTAACTGGCAGGCTGGTCACTGGGTTGCCAGTTTGCTGTATGTGCTTTCTCAGCAGAGTTTTATTCTCTTACAATTTAGAAAATTCATTCTTTTCCTACATGCATAGAAAAGAGGACGCCGATCATCTGACTCTCTAGTGGGACAAAGACAGAGTGGGGGTACCAGCTGTGATGAGCTAAAGCAGACAAAATTATTTAGCTCAGATTTTGGCAGAAAACAATGAGTACATAAAAAAGAGCAGCAGAGATGGTTTTCCTCTTTTCCGAGGGCCTTTAGCCAAGTGGGGATGTGCCCTTTACCCGCCTGTCGCTCCCATTCACACCATTTCAGGGAGGACTGTGCTTTGTATGGTCTCTAGAGTAAAATATAAGTAGCTGCAAGAATACCAATGCACACACATGCAAGCATTCTCTCTCTCTCTCTCTCTCTTTCTCTCTCTCTTTTTGACGTAGCAAAAAAGGAGTAAGTCCAGAGGTTGAGAGCTGGATAAAAATTTAAAGGAATTTCATAGATTTTGAACTTTTAGACTTAGAAGAGGAATTTCAAAGAGACAGATATAAACATTATTTTCCTCTTAAATGTAAGCTGTTATGGTACACTTGCTAAAAATACTAGAATATCTAGTATTCTAAAGAATATTAAATACTTGACTTCAATTATATTAAAAAGAAGGAAAAAAATCTACCACACCCTCAATGGGTAGTGGTCTAAAGTGATAGGCGATGGAGCCATGGTATAAGAACATGTTTTTAGATACATTCTTTAAAAACCTTCTATACTAAGTTTATCCAATTCTAGTCAATATAAAAGATTTTCAAAAGCTAACAGTATTATAATTAATTGTGAAGTACTAGCATTATGGATTAATTAACAGAAAATCAGGATATGTGTTTTTGGAAAGGCTAAATATCTGGCATATCCTTTTGCTTACTATAATAGTTCAAATTAATAAAATTCACCAAATTACTGGTCTTGCAATGACTTTTTATCTTTTCATGAACTCTCTTTAAATGTTCTACTATTTTTTTCAAAGCAGCTAAGAATCCCTCTGTTGCTGAAGTAGAACAAACCGTTTTCAGAGATTGTGCTGAAGTATTCAAATCAGGAGTCACTGCTAATGGTGTCTACATGCTAACATTCCCTAATTCTACGGAAGAGATAAAGGTAAGCTATTAGTCTTCCATTACTAACTCCCTGGCAATGAGCAGGTTCATTTTAAACAGGAAGGAACTTCAGAACATGCCTTCTCGCCAGCTTCAGTCCACAGAAAACAATGGCTACTAATCAGATACTTCATAAAGTACTTGCCAAAAGCTCTACGTTCAATAGTCATGCATATAATATCAATACTGCATATTACTGATGTAGTAGTATCTCTCCCCTCCCTCACAATATATTTTCTTTACATTTTGCTTGAATAATGCATACTATCAGTTGTTTTCCTTGAAGTGGCAGACTTCCTTCATTAACTTTAAAGAAACTATCTCTCTCAAACTGAAGTCTCAATAACCATAATTTGCCTTTTGATCATTCTTCCAAGCAATGATTAAGTTCACTGAAGAAAAGAAAAAGGCCAATTTCGCATGCAACTAAAACAGTCACAAAAAAGTTACTGATGTGAGATAACCATGGTATTTTTAGTAGGCAGAAGTGATTTGTACATAGTCTCCATTTCATCACACAGAATATTAAAAAGACATGCAGTCAATAGGAGAGGCTTAATTAAATTAGGAATTTTTATTGCTTTATCAAAGACCATCATTAAGCGATATTGTTTCTTCTTCTTTTTTAAAAGTGTCAGGCTGTCACTATGAGGAACACAGTGACTGTAGTACTTTGGTACCAATGCTTTGCTTCATGAGTGTGCTGCCAATTTTATCCACTATTGCTTCTGCACCATCAGCAAATGCCAACACAGTGCCAAAGGCCAATAACACCCCACTGTTACCATGGGAATAGTTTCAACCTGTGGACTTGCTGACTTGGTCTTGGGATACTCAGAACTCCATAGTCTATACCATGGGAGCCATTGGGGTAGGCTGTTCTTATCATATCTAATGAAATCTGGAAAACCTAAATATGTCATTAAAGAGACTATTCATTTTCTTCTCAACTACAGGGAGTTTATTTCAAGGTGTATATTCAAATACTGTGTGTAAAGAGAGTGAACGACCAGCATTTTCCAGCAGGAGAAGCTACTACATAGATAAACTCTATTCTTAGTTATTTCAGATTACTGTGAGCATGTCTCCTAAAGGTGCTTTCAGAGATACTGAGCTTTAGATGAGGAAAAAAAAAAAAAATCCCTTCCCCAGCAAATATTTCATGTGGCTTTTCTTAGAGGTTTCATAAAGTAGAATGTATTACATGAGAGTCAGTGTGAAATGTACAAATACTGGGTGACTGTATATATTTAATATTCATCAATGTTTATATTTAAATGTAAAAGCAGCTACATATTGAGCCAACACAACCACAGAGAATCCATTGGATACTGTATTAAAATATAATTTTAAAGGCTCCCAGAAGTTTTATCTCTTTGAATTCAGTATTAGCTTTGGTATTTAATAACAAAGAAAAACACGTTAAAATTTTAAGCATTAGGGCTGAAAGACTTGGATTTGAAACAGTAACATATACCTTAACAATGAATTTAAAAGATAAACTCTGTGCGATTCAAGTTAATATTTTCTAAAGAAATCTTTTTAATTCATTCATGCTGCTTTAAACCAACCTTGAAAATCAGTTAATGTCCCTAGTGACCTAGAAGCAGTGCATTAGGGGGAAAAAAAAACCCCACAAAACAAAACAGTCTGTTGTAGATGAAAAAGCAATTAATAGACTCTCAACTGAGCCTTTCAATCCCATTTGCTCTCTGGTTTGCATGACAATTCTTTGCATGTTATTGTCTGCCACCAGATGTTTGCAAGTTTTTGGTCTAGTGATAATGGGGATAGGCGTGCCAAGAGGAGGACAGAGGATATGAGTGAAATGTGAATGCTACCAAGACAGATCCCCCAGAAGTTTTATCTCTTTGAATTCAGTATTAGCTTTGGTATTTAATAACAAAGAAAAACACGTTAAAATTTTAAGCATTAGGGCTGAAAGACTTGGATTTGAAACAGTAACATATACCTTAACAATGAATTTAAAAGATAAACTCTATGCGATTCAAGTTAATATTTTCTAAAGAAATCTTTTTAATTCATTCATGCTGCTTTAAACCAACCTTGAAAATCAGTTAATGTCCCTAGTGACCTAGAAGCAGTGCATTAGGGGGAAAAAAAAAACCCCACAAAACAAAACAGTCTGTTGTAGATGAAAAAGCAATTAATAGACTCTCAACTGAGCCTTTCAATCCCATTTGCTCTCTGGTTTGCATGACAATTCTTTGCATGTTATTGTCTGCCACCAGATGTTTGCAAGTTTTTGGTCTAGTGATAATGGGGATAGGCGTGCCAAGAGGAGGACAGAGGATATGAGTGAAATGTGAATGCTACCAAGACAGATCCAGAGGGACAGTTGTTATCATGATGCTGCCTGAATCTTTTCCTGACTTAGAGCAGTGTGTTCCTCCCCAGTGAACTATACCACTCCCAGAGACTCACTGAAATGTTCTGCAGAAAGAAGAAAATGTATAGTACTTTAGGATTATCTAAGTCTCAGGTCATCATTGGAAACATTAGGATTTATATTTCCTTTAAGTGTTTGCAGTAAAAAAAAAAAAAAATCATTTACACAGCAGGGAATGATAATTTTTCAAAACTTCAATTTTTTCATTTCTGAAATAAATGGTCTGGATTAAGTTACCTCTAAATTCCCTTCCGGAATCAAGATGCCATAAAGTCACAATCTGATCTAGGGAGACATAGTCAGACTGACTTGGGTTTTCATTCCAGCTCTGCCAATTTGTGGCTCTAAGCAAGCCATTTAACCTTTCTGAGTGCTTAGTTTCCTAATCTGTAACATGGCGATAACACACCCAGCCTTGGAGGTGGTGACCATGGAAGTACGGCAACCAGTATCGGACTTGGGATGGTAGTGGTAATCATGTTCACTTGCCCCAGAAACTATAAGACAACTGTTTTGCCTAACATGGTACCCAGTTTTACCCTGGCTCATCTAATTCAAAAAAGGAATGTTCAGTAGATCTGGGAAGATCTTTACCCAAAAGCCTCAATAGTGGCAATTTGATTTTTGAAGAATGAATTAGGTTTTTGCATAAGATAGACATCATTAAATAGCATTTATCAGAAGCAGGAGACTATGTTTTTGCTAGTTAGAAGCGTAATAATTTTCTTCCCTAAATTTCATAGGACACCTGACTCCCAATGTTTATCTATGTGTTTGCTATTTAACCATGGCCTCAGAAACAAAGCATGACATTTAAATCAACCATTTTTTACTGAAAAACATTTATCTTTATAGCAAGATACCAGGTCCCTGAACCATAAAACAATGTGCTAATCAAACGTATTAACTGCCCTCAGGTCTACTGGAATTGGAGTGGTGCAGTCACAGGCATTATCTGAGAATTGTTGCTTTTCTGATCCCAAGATCATGTCTCGCCATTTGCACTCAATGTCTTCTGGCTATGTGGATAACTCTATTTGAACACTATCTTTCTCCAAGTTTCATGACTCAGCCATTATAGTTCAGTTTTCATAAATCTTCTTTTATTTTCTCTCTCTCTTTTTAAACCTGGACAAAGTATTGAGAAAATGCTCTAATAGCCTTATTGCTGTCATTAACAGAGTCAAAGAGAATAGTGATATGGCCCAAATAATTTAGGCACTGGCATGACTTTCAGACACGGGAGAATCTTGCCTCTAACTTCCCTATCAAGATAGACTTTCCTCTAACAAGAGACAGTATTTAAATATTAGTAATGTCCTAACAGTGATTTGACATAAAAAAATCAAGTACTCTTGGCACATGGATGGGCTCATGAACAACCCTATCAATTATTTCAACCCATCAGCATGCCATTTAGGACACAGAAGGATTAACTTCTATGAATACACATAAATCCTTAAACCAATGTAACTTATTCAGCTAGTTTACTAAATGGATTTTATAGAAAGATGTATTAATAGAAGTGAGCAGCTCTGACCATTTTGTTGGCCACAGGCAAATAAGAGGCAGTATTATTCATGAACTGATTTCAACTGGGAGCTGTGTTGAGGGACTTGTGGCCTATTAACAAAAGGTCAAATTTCTCTGATTTTGGCAGCATGATGTAGTGGGAAGAACACTACACAGGAATTAAAGAGAATGTGTTCAAATCCTATATACCACTTAATAGCTAAAAGAATATGATCAAATTAATCTCATTTTACTAAATCTTTTTTTCCTTTCAAAAATGCAGAATTCTATCACAGCAGAGTTGCTGTGAGGTTAGAGACAATATGACTAGCATAGTGCTTGGAAGAGGGTGGTATGTACCAATAACAACAATGATTAATAATAATATCAGTATCAATACAAAATGACAATAAGAGGTTACCTTTAGCAGATCTTAAAATGAGGAGACAATGTTCCTATTAATATGTGTAATTTTCTTTAATGGCAAATATCTTTCCAAATATGAAGATTGTTGAGGAAGGCGACAAGGGCCACGTGAGCTTCAGAGAGAAGTTGGAATAGTGATGGAGGGAAGGACCCTGCACAGCAGGGCTGCTGTAGTCACTGTTTTCGAGTTCCTCTAGCAATAAGACAAGGAACATTGACATTCTTGGGTCCCTGTTTCTTCATATGTAAAAATAAAAAACATGCTCTTTTAGCTTTCATTCTTAGGATTCTAACTCTTAAACACAGAATAGTTCACCTCTACACTTACCCTGCCAAAATTTCCTGTTATTCTCAAAAAGACCATGGAAAACAACAAAGGAAATAAATTTATAATTGTTTTTGAACCTTAATGTTAATATTTCCTACCTTGTAGGCTGTATGGAAATCATCTTCCTTCTGGAAAACTTTTTCGTTCTACTATAATCTCATTATTTAAAACTATTTATGTAATCTCATTTTCAGGGGTTTTTAATTTCATAGTAAAACTCCAGCTGAGTTGAAATTGAGCTTGCATGCTCTTAGCCCAATAAAGAATTCTGTGTTCTGGACAAAGTTTAAACCCACTGAGCCAGTTTAAATGTAGAAATAAATAGAGCTGGGAAGAGAAAAATGGGCAGTGAGCAAAGTGCAGAAAAGCCTGAACTCATGCCCTTCAGGGCAGAGCTGCCAGGCCGAACTTGGGTCATACACACAGCATGGGTACACTGGAGCCTTGAGGCCCTCATACTCAGGGATCAATTGAGGAACCTGATTTTCATCACACATAGCAGAAAGCAAACAGTTCCACAACAGAACATAAGAGAGGTCTCAGAAACCCTGCAATGAAAGAGTATCCCCCTTGCAAGTGGATATTAGCAAGATTTCAAGACTATAGACATGAGTCAATGATTTTCTACAAAAGTTGGAAATGTGAGGTTTTGGGCCAAACTGCCAAGATGTTTCATTCACACTGAATCCCTAAAAGACAACAACCTCTGAGTCAGGTATGGAGCTGAGGTCACTAGCCTGAACAAATGATTACAAGAAAGTCATATTTTCATCATGTATTCAGTTTTCATCATCATTTTAAATCTACTGTTTTCATTTAAAACAATATGTTTTTGAAAAGAGAATGCCATCAACACAAGTCTTGTAGTAGATGTCTACAACTGTCTTGTTTCTGTTACTTATGATGAAGACCTTGGTCATGGATGCTTGGGCAGTAACTGTGTGTTTTCCCTTGGCAGGCTTACTGTGATATGGAGACAGGTGGAGGTGGGTGGACAATTATTCAGCGACGTGAAGATGGCAGTGTTGATTTTCAGAGGACTTGGAAAGAATATAAAGTGGTATGGGTATTCCTTTAACCATCTGAAAAGAGATCATTTCTTTTGCAAAACTACTAATACCTTTCAAGATCTACAAAATCTTAACCACAAATCCAAAACTAACAAGTAACTTTTGACACAGGTTTTTTTTTTTTTTTTTTTACCAAAATGGTTCTTTAAAAAATATGAGTGGTCTTCTCCCCATTAAACAAGTCTTATTAGATGTTAACATAAACTATATATTAAAATTAAGGCATACAAGAGCTTAGTTTATTTATTTTTCTTTTTTTTTAATTGAGAGATTTTTGCTATATGGCATGTGTACTTACCAGAGAGGCAGAGACAGAAAGTGAGAAATCACCCCCTAGATAGGATGGCCATGCTACAATCCCTTCTCCAGTCAACTCTTAGGATTTGGGGCACACACGCAAGTGCTTGGCATGAGTTTTAAGCCACCAGATCCAGGACTTGAACCATGGTCGACTACATGGGAGTCCAGCAACGTAACCATTACACCATCTAATGGTCCTGCTTAGTTTATTCTTAAAGGCAGGCTCAGCACTCTTTTTTCAGTAAGCAAACCATTTTACAGTATTTCATACTTCTATAAACTCAGCTATTGACACTTATGTTTGTACTGGTGGTTTCCCAAGTAGTTCTAATTATTCTAATACTAATTTTGTTCAGAGAATAGCTTAGTCTCCGAAAACTGATCTTTTTCAAAATCTCTTTAAGAAAGATTCCCATTTTTCCCAGTAGAGGAAGTAATCTCTGTTGTTTGATAGTTATTGCATACTCAATTGATGAACTGTTGATTTCAAATACATGAAGAAAAGATAAATAAAGTAACTGAATTTTACAACTTGAATTATAGGGATTTGGTAACCCTTCAGGAGAATACTGGCTGGGAAATGAGTTTGTTTCACAACTGACTAATCAGAAACGCTATGTGCTTAAAATATACCTGCAAGACTGGGAAGGAAATGAAGCTTACTCATTGTATGAACATTTCTATCTCTCAAGTGAAGAACTCAATTATAGGTAAGTAAACTGTTTGTAATTGAAAAAATTTAAAGAATTTTAAAGAAAGGGAGAATAACCTTGACTTAAGCAAGCTCTAAATTATTAGACTACCTGAAATAGAAAAATACCTTGTTTCTTAGAGTTACTACTGTGTTTAGGTAAGTTTCTCTAGTTTTAAAATTCTAACTTTAATTAAAACAATATAAAGGAAACTTCATGAGGATGGTATTTTGTGTCTTTTGCTTTCTGGGTATTCTCAAAAACCTAGAAGTACCCTGCCTTGCAAATAATAGGCAATTATAATTATTTGAAGAATAAGTGAATGTTAGGATGTCATGAGAGTATCATAACAGATGAATAACTGTGACTATATTGTATTCTTCCAAAGTTGTTAATATTAATCTATAAGTTTAAACATTCAATTGTTCATTTCTGAAGTCAGGATTAGTTGTCAAGTTTACAAATGGCAGAGTTAGATGGGATGGTTAGAGAACTCCTAGAGATACACTCTGTTGTATAAAGTTTATCACATTCCCAATATTTGCCTTGCTTGCCCCATTTGGTGGCAATAATCTTCATTGTTGTAATAGTATAGGTTACCCAAACTAGAAATTTACTTCCAGCTCTAAAATGCACTAAGAGTATAAACAGAAAAGCGACTTGATGATCTATGTATAGGAGAAGTCTAGTAAAGTCACACACTGATGTGCTAGTACATAAAGTCCACAGAGACACTCTGAATTGCACATGCAATGAGGGAGAGAACAAGACAATGTGCACTGTGGCACTAAACTGATCTGAGAATGGCTGTCACCAACACTGCTCTGAAAGAGTCTATGAGTGTATAGACTGGTGGCACCTGGTAATCATGAAGCAAACATTATGAAATACCTTCTCTGAGGTCAGAAATAAATAAATGGGGTTTAACAGAAACATCACAGAACATAGTCCTCTAGCCTGAAGTTCTATCTAATTCTCATTAATGCCCAAGTCAGACCCTCTGCTCAATAGAAATACCAACATCTGAAGAGTTTGGAAAGCAAATTCTATTTCAAAGTTCATGAGCTGGCTTCCTAGGGGAGGGTGACAATGGACAACACAGAAAAGCAGCTAAAAGTCAAGTTATCTGAACAACCATTTGAAAACTATGCACTGTCCCAAGGGGCCCGCCTCACAGTGAATCGAAATTCAGAAGCATGTTCTGAAAGCAGATAACAAACACTGATGTGACTTTTAAAAAGTCATTGAAGTATATTCCATTGATTATCATTATAGAAAGAGAAGGGCTCTCTTGGACAGCAACAATGGAGATGAATGAAGAGATAGATACTGGAGCCTCACAGCAGTTCAAACTTGACTCCAAAGAGATCAAAACTTCACAAGACGCAAGTGGTTTGGTCATTGTTTTACCTCCAAGCTAAATATTTTTTCAACTGGCAATAGTTAGAAATCTACAACAAAGGAATTAAAAGAAAAGAAACACAAAAATTAAAGATTAGACTGTTTATATAAGAGGATTTTACAAAATGGGTCATTACCCTTGTATGCTTGACATTATAAAAATATTTTAAACTGAGATGATTCTTAACAGATATTTCCTTTAGAAATACAACCAAATTTTTGATTTACCACTAGAAAAACCTCATACACAATAGTTTAAAGCTTAGTCTAATTTACTTGGCAACATAAAATAGGAATTACATAAAAATATCTTCTTAATAAAACATGATGTTAATGTAGTAAGAACTGTGATGTGAAAGATTTTTAAAAAAGAATTATTTTACTTAAATTTATTTATTTATTTATTTATTTATTTATTTATTTATTTATTTTAATTAGACCAGAGAGGCTGACAGAGTGAGAGTGAGAGAGTGAGAGAGTGAGTGAGAGAGAGAGAGAGAAAAAGAGAGAGAGAAAGTGAGAACGTGAAACGCAAGGCCTGGGACTCGAACCATGGTTGGCCATGTGGGAGTCCAGTGTCCTTAACCACCATGCCACCTGCTGGCCTGTGACCAAAAGTTTTAATAAAATCCTACAAATGCTTCAGAATGCCAATTTAGCAGCTAATTTCCCCCCTAAAAGCTAGAAAACCGAAACATGTACATTATAATGAATGGATAAATGCATCAATAGAACATGACTCTTTTATTCAAAACTGAAAACCATTGGCACATTAAACTTTCAAAACTGTTTACTTTTTCACAAACATTTTGACAGTTTAACAGAAACACTGAGATTTAATTGTTAAATTTCACATTAAGTCTTTATTCGACTGATATATAAAATCAGCCAACACTAATTTAAATAAATTTAAAGACTGGCTATTCTTAATAACCAAATTTTAAAGATAGCACTTTAAACCAGTGTGCCATGGAAAGGTCTAAAATTATACAACCTTTCTAACAGAGACTAATGCAAAATAGCATTCTCTCTCATTTTGCTTGCCTTTGGGAAATTTAATGAATTCTATGAGAAGTGAATTATTCAAAGGGGACAGGAGAGTTAAAAGGATGACAAGCAAGAGAAGCCCTCAATCCTTTCGTGATTAATAAGAGGCTGTTAAGAAAGTAAAGTGTTTAAAAATCCCAATGATAATGAGAAATTTTTACATTAGTATTTTGCAGTAGGTATTTAGTGACCAAAGTAAGGGCCAATCTAATTTTTGAAACACGCAGGAAAACAGTGAAATACAGACATTCAGCCAATCAATGCCTTACAATGAAGTTTCTAGGACTACTGTATAAAATTCTCATAAAAATCTGGGTGATTAACATCAAAATTTAGAACTGGCCTTTATGAAACTCCACCAGGTGTGACCTTCATCACTTACTTTTCACAACTTCTTCCTCAATAAGAAACATCTCTGGGAAAGTGTGTGCAATAATGGAAACCCAACAGAAGACTGGCACATCTGGTACAAATCTTAGTTCCTCACTTAGAAGTTTTGACTTTTGTCAAGTTCACATGGCTGAATCTCAATGATTTCCTTCTATGTAAAAACAAGGATAATGCCTACCTCTGCAGGTTGCTATGGGTATGCAATGCACTTGCCTGTGTAAGTACCCTGCCTAGGCTGGTCAGCTGGTAGAATCAAGAGAACCTATCTTCTCTGCACTCTGTTCCAAAATAAATTCTTGGAAATTATATTACTTCTAAGGTAATGGTTAGCAAATGTTAGCAGGTTTTACAAACAGAAGCATAATTTTATTTATTTATTTATTTGCCATAGGATGCATGCACTTGCTGGAAAGAGACAGAGAGAAAGAGACAGTAAGAGGGAAAGTGAGAGAACATCCCTATGAGAGGATGGCCACACCACAATCCCTTCTCCATTCTCCTGGGATTTGGGGCACACATGCACACACACCTGGCATGATTTTCAAGTTCCAGGTCTAGTACTCTAACTGTGGTCGACCATGTAGGAGTCCAGTAGCAGAACTACTACCCCTCTTGCTGGCCCCAAGAAACATCACTTTGGCATTGCAAGATTTGCATTTTTAGATCCTTGCCCAGGTCTTCATGTACTTGTAAGTTCCTCAGAGCATAAGGACTCACAATGTGCTAGGCTCTGAGAGCCTGCTCTGTGTCAACAATTTCCCATATCATTCTATATGAACGTCTGCTCTGACCTACCCTGAGCTATCTGATAAGGTGGTATTTTTTAAAAAAATCTTTTCCTTCCTTTTTTCAGTTACTTGTGAACACAGTTTATGAGAAATTAAAAAAAAAAAACAAAACAGCTTCTTTATTCTTCACTTATATTTTCCTTGCTGGCACACAGGTCACTGCTATACCTCATTTTACAATATTCTAAAAGTAGAACCTAGCCACAGTAGTGAAGGTGGTAGCATACTGACTGGCTGTGCTAGAAGCCACACAACAACCACAGGTTCAGATCCCAGGTCAACCTACAGCACACCAGACACATGCCCAGGAGCCTGGCTGGCTGGCTGGCTGGCTATGTGAAGAGACCCTGTTGAGAATGCTTTTCTTTGTTTCTCTCTCTCTTGCATGTGAACTGTCTCTTTCAAAAAAGTAATAAAATGAACAAACTTAAAAAAAAAAAAAAAGAGTAAGCTATCATTTAAATTGGTATGGTATTTATTCCTTTCTCAACACTGAACAGGTTTATTATATACTACTGCAGAGAAGCGAGGCAAAGCAGCTTTGTGGATTTATTTTCTACAAGTTCTGTAAATTTCGACTTCAAACTCCATGATCCTTTCTTGTTGTCTGCTGCCCTCTCTACTGCCCTCCACTCCCCTTCTCCTGCCTGCTAAAAATAGTGATATATGAGGCTGTCTAGTCATCTCAGGACTCTCGTTTCACTATGGATGATGACTAAAGTCCCAGGAAGAAGTCCCCCAACATTGCATTTCCCCCTCAACTGTTTATCTGAAAGCAGCAGGAAAATAAATTATAGGGCTTTACAGTTCCTGCTAATACTTGTACAAGTGATATGTGTTGAAGGTTTCATGAAAACATCCCTCTTTGCCGAAGGATTTGATGATAAGTTGGTTCCTGTTTATACCAGTGCAAAATATTTTGTTCAAAGTATGCATTAGTGCACTAACTAGTACAGAATGCGCTTCTGTGGAACGGAATTCTTCATTATGAAAAATTTTCCACCACAGTAAATCAACAACCCAAGCAAATTACTTTTTTTTTTTTTTCCTTTGCATGCTTACAGGATTCACCTTAAAGGACTTACAGGGACAGCCGGCAAAATAAGCAGCATAAGCCAACCAGGAAATGATTTTAGCACAAAGGATGCAGACAACGACAAATGTATTTGCAAATGTTCACAAATGCTAACAGGAGGTAGGGATGACTTTTCTGTCTTCCTATTTGTATTGGCAAGGAACAATTTCACAGAGTGAAAGGCTGGCAATTTGGACATTAAAGTATGATTGGTGACAATGTCCAAAATTTTATACATAGATATACTAACTTGATATAGGTAAATTTGTTTTTACTCTTTTAGACTGTCAAGTTTTAAGAGAGACTGTGATATGAAGCTAGAACTGTCAGCACGCCAATTGTGTCTCCTTAGACCTACTCCTGGCAAGGAGGGGGACATTTGATATTCCACAAGCTCTCTTGAGTTTGTACTTCCTGAGTATCAGATGTCTGAGAAACAGTTTAATTCCATTTTGCTTTATTAAAAAGGTTAAAATTCAAAATGGCAATCAAAACAAGATATAGAATCATTGCTACAGAAATATTTTCAATTAATAATTGAATGTTCAAAGAATTTTCAGTTCTTTTAAAAAGTATTTCATCAATATATAACAAACACTTAAAACAAAACCAATTTACCAACTTAACTTTTTCTGTATCAAATTAAAATTAGTGATTATCTACTTTAAAGTAAGGTCTTTCTTGTTTTCTACCTTTTGTGTCACATTTCTTTAACACTGAAAATAGAGGCCCAGTCCTTGCTGTTGGTGGTGCAGGCAGTAGGGCAGTGCTGCCTAACACTGGAGTCATATGGGAAGACCCTGGGATCAAATCCCAAGTTAACTTGAACATATAGGCATATGAAAGA